GATTTGTCCGAGGCACTAGGACGAAACAGCTACCTGTCCAGTACTCTATGGTTGGTTTTCAATGGTTCTATAATAATGGTTCAATGGCTCATCATTCCTTCTTTGGGATTCATTGGCAGGTTTTGAATCCAGGACCTGTGTTTGCGCTAAAATCATGAATTAGTAGAAGTTGGAATTTATGAGATGGACATTGATGAATCGGGTCCCAGTGGGTGAATCGTCTACGAGCTTGTCTTGTAACTGGAAGTTCTGGGTCGATGAGTCCCAGGCACTAGGACGAAATAGCTACCTGTACAGTACTCCCTGGTTGGTTTTCAATGGTTCTATAATAATTGATATTGTGGTGAGAGCTGGCTGCTAGGCGAAAATCGGTAGACAGTAATTTACGTCAATGTTTACGTCCCCAATATTGGTCGTGAGAAAAATGAGAACAAAGACTGATTCAACAACCAACCACAACATACTGTGCGTAGGCGGATATAATTTGCAGATAGATAATATGAACTTCAAAAAAACGGCCACAAAGAGATGAAAGATTAACGTTCAATGAGAAACAACCAATCAGAAGACTGTGTTTGTCTACTAGCAATAATGTATAATAATGTACATGGAAATCTATAAATATGCGTTGATTTCCTAAATAAACGATCTGTTTCCTGGCCATTGTCTTCTGTTGTTACAATATCAGTTCATGGTCAAACTTGAGAAACAAATCGAATCCCCACGACAAACAAATTCTTGAAAACCAAACCAATTTCATTCGTTATGTAATCAACATTCAACAATGTACACCAAAAATATCCTTCCAGGATATACTAACTTGTGTGCATCAGTGATTCAATAATAGGATACATACCAGCTACGCGTGAGGCCCAGGGTTCGATTCTTGGCGGACACAAGTACTCCTCAGTCTTGCCTAGTTAGTTTATTAACCCAGAAAAGAGGGAAGGTTGTCAATGTGAGACTAGCAACCTCATCTCGTAAAGATAATACCACTACTGAAGTTTCAAAAAAGCTTAAAACAACCCAGTGTTCCACCCGAAACGCTAGAGTTATTTACTCGAGAAAGGAAGGGAAATATAATCCTGTTGACTAACTGACTGACTCAGTCTCCACAGAGAAAATTGCTCAGAAGTGTAGCAGTTTAAACTTCTATACTCCATATTGTAGACAAAGGTAGACAATAGAGATGTCAAAGAATCATAAACGGCAAAAATATGCGGAAGAAGGAATAGTAAGGTGGAAAAACATCATGAAGGTTTAATGGATATCAGGGCTCACAAAGAGTGAATGCATCTGTGCTAGCCACTGGGAACGATTTTGACCCATATCACTAATAGTCTCTAGCCTTCATTGGTTCTTAGAATCCTGAGGATCCCAACAGCTAGGTGGTAGGTCTAGACCTCCATACATGACTTAAATCATCTGTCAAAGATTTCATGGACTAAAGTCAGGTTTTGGTTTGACCACTCGTAACTCCTTTACAACTTAATCCTATGTTCGTCAAGGAAGGCAGGGTAACAAACGTCGAAGCCATCTCAATAGATTCATCTTCACAAACTCCCTACTAACACTACACCAAACCTCACCTCTCAATATTCTTCATCATATTCTACCACTTAACAAGGGAGATGGAATGCAAAGACGACAGCAAGCTAGTCTTTTCATATCTTCTATTTTTAATGTCCATGTCTCACAGCAATAAAAGAGGGACAAAGTGAACTGCTAAGCAGTACACATGTCTTTTGGTCGATAGTGAAATATCACGTCAGTTGGGATTTCGTCAGCTGTTGGATCCATCACGACTGATGTGAATTATCAAATAAGTAAAGTGAATAAGACGCTCTAGCACTACTAGGCGAATCAGACTATGGTGTGAAACGTGTGTGTGCGTCGGAGAGCGGGAGAGAGAGAGAGACGGACAAAGAGACAAAGAAATACTTCAGGTGATAAAACAAGTGAAGAATCACATAAAAAAAGGAACTTGTGCAGTGTTGGGAATGCGTAAGCAGGTGACTAACATTTATTGGTTGTATACATTGTAGTAGGTTACTTCATATTTTGCTTCACATGAGTAAGACAAGTCTGTCTTCAAGTGTTGGTTTGTAGGGATTTGATTGGTTTCAGGATTTCATCATGAGGTGACATTAGTTAGAGAGGCGAAGTTAAACTTTCGACACCACTAACTACCAATCAGCGAATTATCCAATGGGATTCACGAACGATGTCGAATTATCCAATGAGATTCACGAACGCAGTTCAATGCTGTAGAGCGCTTGATTCTTTTCTAATACGCGACCTTACAAGATTACGGTTGCAATTCGAGGAGTACAGTGTTTTCCAGTATTGCCAGGATTTAGGGTTGCTCCGGAAGGAGTGAACTTGTTCGTGTGTTGGCATCATGACTTTAAAAAGCTATAGCAGATCAACTGATGGGTTTGTTCATCGTTGTGCTATGTGTTTGAAGCGTGCTAACATTAGAGCGGATAAGCTGATAATTTTAATATTTCGTAGGAACTTTCTTCCCTAGGTCGCATCTCTCCCTAACCCAGAGTTTCTACATCTGCAACTACTGGGTGTTGAAACAGCCGGTGAGAGCAGCAGCTGCCGAGACTGAGAATAGTCTCGTCTCAACAGTTTAGTGGTGCCAGCATTGTAGAGATATTGCTTCGTGTAAAATAGGGAAAATCACTTGTTTGCTGGTTGGATCCCGTTACGAGGACTCATGCGAATTCCATTGAAGGTTTTTGGGGCTGCTTGAAAAACAGGATAAGGGCTATAAATGGATCTCAAAAGGATCTCATTTACCGGCATTCAGATAAATATAAGCACACGATGTGGTGTGACTTCTCCACTGACAGTCTTATGCTAAACTTGGAGATGTTTCTATCACATGTTCGAGAAAGATACCCCTTGTAACCGTTTTATCCTCTTTTTTATGCTTTTTTCTATAAATATACGTTTCCATTCATCATATATGCCTATTTAATGTGATTGGTCCGTTCAAAGTCGTTTGCTGATTGGTTGTTAGTGGTGTCGAAAGTTTAACTTTGCCGTTAGAGAACCATTGGAAAACCTGTGAGTACTGACAGCTGTTTCGTCCTAGTTTGGGACTCTTCAGCAGTACGCACCCACAAGGATTCGAACCCAGGATCTTCCGGTTACAAGGCGAGCTCGTATACCATTAAGCCACTGGGACCCGATCCCGTCGTGAATTGGCAGAAGTTAGAATTCAAGGACCATTGGATCGGGTCCCAGTGGCTTAATGGTATACGAGCTCGCCTTGTAACCGGAAGGTCCTGGGTTCGAATCCCAGGTGGGTGCTTACTACTGAAGAGTCCCAAACTAGGACGAAACAACTGTGCAGTACTCCCAGGTTTTCCAATGGTTCTCTAACTAATGTCAGCTCATGATGAAATCCTGAACAATTCTGTCTATTATAACCGATGATATTCTTAACTGTGGTCGACTGGATTATACAGAAGACAGCGCGTTGGGAGTGAGAAGACAAGCGTACGTTGGACAGATAAGAAGACTCTAGAACATCTGAACCTCTTGGATTATTAATGTCTAATGTCACACACAAACTCGAAGACGTATAGGTGAAAACCAACAAACTGGGAGAAGAGCCTAGCAGGAAGCGATGACAGGACTTCAATTGAATATAAAGAAGATGGAGGTGATGAAGATAACCAACGAATAACAACAACAACAACAACGAGCACCACCAATCACTATCAACGGAAGAGATTTGAAAGAAGTTACTTCCTTCACTTATGTAGGAAGCATCCTTTCGACTACAGGCAGGCGGAACGGATTAGAATGTCGAAACCAGTGAGCCAGAATCGAAAAAGGCAAGACAGAAGACCTTCACTTCTTTGAAATCAGTTTGAAGCTCTTCTGCAATCAGCATAAAGCAAAAGACTTGGATTTCGGACACAAATGTTAAGTCCATCAGTTCTTCTATATGAGTCAGAAACCTGCAGGTCGCGTTACGAAAAGAATTTGCATTAGCCAGCTGCAGACTTTTATCAACAGCTGACACCTTCGCTAGCCGACTGCATACTGAAGAACAAAAGACCAGCTAGCCAGAAGGAATTGGCAAGAAGAAACTCTGGCTGGCCGATTGCTCAACAAAGGCATATGTAGGAGATAAAGAGAAGGTGGATTAGGCACAGTCAAATGACATCACGCACCAAGCCATAACCCAAGTGGAACCCTAGTGGGAGACGACGAGTAAGCGTTAGAGGATGACACGGAAGAGAACAAGGACTATGGGTAATCGTGGGGCCAGCTAAAAGAGACGGCAGGAAATAGGACAAAATGGGGATGTGATGTTGAAGCCAGCCCTATGTTCCACTCGGAACCGGTGGGACAGTAATAATAATAGTACTTAATGACTTCACATTTTGAAACCTACAGAAGTCAGCTCATTAGTATTGGAGAGTATGACTGCGCAGTCAGATGTACCTCACAGAACCTCTTTAAAAAGATACCATTCAAAGGTATCTAAGTTACTCTACGTGTGCTATTTCCAAGACCAACCTAATGTGACAACTAACAGAAATAGAGGGGTAGAATTGCTCGAAATGTCAGGTGGCCTTCAAGTAATATCCCTGTGTTGTCATCCATTATAGACTCTACCGCAATCTTACTCTTGCAAAAGAGATACACCTAATCTATTGCTATTGCTTTTTAAACAGTTTTCTCGGTGATGATGGTGTTGCTTTCACAGGGTAGGGTTCCTAGCCTGACACTTAACCTTTCTCTTTCCTAGGCTTATTAAGAGAAGAGGTTTTAGGAGTGTATCAGCCTGGAATGGAACCCTGGCCTCCGCATAGTTGGGAGGGAGCACCCTGACATTTTATCTGATCAATTTCAAGTGTAGGAAGTGGTGGCAACAGCCAAACAGCTTCTCTCTCTCACATGGTTCCAGTGACTCAAAAGAACCCTATTTTTGTCAAAATTCTCCTCTCCCCCACCCCAGCCCACGCGCTTACTTTATTCGCCACTCCAGAGGTTGACAGTCTTCGAACTTCCATTTGTTTCTCGCGTTTTCTTCTCTCCCTCTCATCCAAACCTTGACGAAGTTTAGCAGGAATACATTGACTAAGGCTACCAGATAATGATGCAGGTCGTTCTGAACGAGGTCTTGAAGGAGGACCGAAATCCACAACAAATGCTTCAGCAGGTGGTGGTCTAACAGACTTTTCATTCGACACTGAATTGACTTCAGTTTCTACACCTGAAACAGAAATCAGAGAAGTTTTATTGAAGTGAAAGGAAACCAACTTAGAAAGTAGTAAAGATTACTAATAACACAGGCCGGATAAATGCCGAAGTGTTCCGTCCACTTAATCGACGGGAAAATCTAAAATTCAATTCAATGATTAATATGACCCGTTGCACAAGAGGTGGCCAGCTTTCGTGGCCCGAACGCTCTAAGGGATAACGCTATGGCGTTTGAAACTATGGTCAGTGGGTCTGGGCTTGGTGGGAAGACCATCACTCACTGGGGAATACGGGTACATCCAGCTGACAAGTCCCGAATCAGATGAAATACACATCCTGGATCCCACTGCTACTCACCATCCATCAATTGTAATTTTATTTTCCATTATAATTACAGTACTAAACAGTTACACAAGAGAAATTCCTATCCAGGTGGGTTGTATTCCTTGTAATCAGAGACTGGAACAGAGGGTTTGAAACTTTGGATTTTTACTGGAAGTGGTGGTGATGTGTTGTTCTCTTCTACAGGGTAAGTTGGCCAACCTCACGCCAAACCTAATCTATTTTCCAAGCTCACTATTGGCGATAAATCACACACTGTTGTACAGTAATATTAACTGATGACCACGTTTCGAGCACAAATAATTACCTCTCATAATGATATCAAGTTACTCACACAACTTTTTTCTTTCATTTATCTACATGAGTGAAATTGATGATTAGACATTTGAATAAAAATCAATATAGGATAATGTACATTCAGAAATATTAATAATAATATGAGTGTTATCAGATGGGAAATAAGACGAGTGCTTTTACAGTCACAATAAGTAACTTGTTAGAATGTTGTGATGTACGTGAATTGAATTGGAATAGAACTTTAAGATTATTTATTATCCCCCTGTAATTTGACTGACTGACTGACTGACTGGTAGTAATAATATCTTCCATGCATATCTCTAGTATTTGTATTGAGTCATTTCTGTTGCATGTGCTGTGTTGGGTATAGACTCAATGAACCAGGCTGGATTCAGTAATCAATCTCTCTCTCCACCTACTTATCTTCACAGGTGGGGTCAAGCATTCTTACCTTAGCTAAATTCTTATGTTCCGACAATCTGACTATCCCTGAGTTACTAGTCTGACCTATATAGTTGACCTCACTCACGGTCATTGCAAGGTATTTTGTAAATTATATTATTTTGTTTAATTGGATCCACCGGGTCTTTTAGCCTACAGAGCTTGTCCCTGCCTGAGTGAGTTTGTCGGTTTGAATGCCACAACCCTAATTCCTGCTTTATTAATGGAGTTATGCTCTACCGCAGTGCCCAAGTTTTTTACTTATATCGACAATCACTATGGGCGACAATTAGGAGTACGCCAGTCGAGAATCAAATACTAAACTACATGTGGGAGGTTGGCGACCAGTCAGTCTACCTACCAATGAACCATAGTCGAAAGTGCTTCCCTGAAGAGACGTAGTGATTAGCTTGTAAAACACAGATATCATTGTTACTTGTACATATCCTGTTTTCTAATGCATACATACTACTCAACTGTTGAAATGTAAACCTAATTATGATTTTTGCATGCTTGACACTGACGTTATTTGACAACCAGGATATCGATCTTGGAACGTAATTCCCTGCGACATATGTATATATACCTTAATCAGAAGAAACTAATTCTCCTTAGTTTGTGCCCATTGGAAAAGATTACCCTGATTTATGTTTCACTTCATAATCAAACATTATCTGAAGGTTGTAAAGAATAAGTAAGGAGAATCACAATACTAAAGCTGATATTGATATTTAAAAAGTCATTAAGAATGACTGACTGTCTGACTGGTTTCAACATAGAACTTTGCACAGATGTGCAGCAGCACTTCGAGTCGCCACACTCCCTTCTTGCAGCACAAAAAGTAAGAGAAGAAAGTAAAAAGAAACACATAATAGAGACAGTAAACAGAGATATGAGGCAAAAAGAGTAGTTATATGGAACAACAATATACTTTTATTGGATATGACAAATCACAAGAAGTGGATGCACCTGCGCCATCCACTGAGAACGATTTTGAGGCATATCACTAACTGTCTCCAGCCACTGGTATTTAATGCCACGAGGACCCCAACTGGTCAGGAAGTCTACAACTTCCTACGTGACTGGCTTAATCTAACTGTTGTCGATTTCATTGACTGATGAAGCCGTGTTTTGTTTTGCCCACCACTAGGTCTTTGCCAACCTGATCCATTCTATGTCAACTTACATAGCCCATTATCAAGGAAGGCGTAACACATATCCTAACCATCTCAGTCGATGTAGCTTCACAGCGTCGTCTACTGGTTTCCACTCCAACTGACCTACCACTCGACCGTATCCTAACCTGAATATTGCTCGCATTATTATACCACTTCACACGGGAAATAGAATGCAGGCGCCTATGATCAAAGACAACTAGCCAGCCTTATCTTGTCTTTCAATGGCCAGATCTCACAGCCACAAAGGCTTCACGCTCTAATATGCATTCAGTGGCAAAACAAAAAACGAAAGCATTCAAGGTGAAATTCATCGAATCTCACTGAACCTTTCCAACGGACTTCGTATTTGTTTACAGTATATCACTGAGGCGATCGATACTCGAACTGAACTATTAAGCCTAAAATATGCATTCAGAAGAAGTTCATACAGTCACATTATCCCTCCTTTGGTCAATTAAGATCTAATCAACAGACGCTGCGACCGCCACCCCTTATATTTATAATTTCTAATCCCTTCTTTATCAACCGTTATTCTTATTGCATTTTCATTAAAATAAACAGTTTATTGACTTCCCTCTTATAATCTAGCATGACTCAATCGGACCATTTTTTGGTTTTTATCAGCCTTTGTTGACGTCTGTCTGAACATTTGTCTGATTAATCACTGCTGTTGTTTTTCTCAATTATTCTTGTAATTAGCACAAATCGTTCCACTTTTTCATCTTTGTTGTGAATAAAATTATTATTATTATTACTGTGACCTAATTGCACAGTCTTATCATAGTCCTTCTAGGCGAGGACGCTGACAGAAAATAGAGCAGAGTCTTCTGAACACCTTGAGGAGCTGCAATTTACGAATGTTTGGCATGCGATTCTCGCCCTTCGTCAAATGTAAGATGATGGTACAGACTAGACTACACTGACTCCTAGTTTAGAAATAGCGGATGAAGTGGTTTATGGAGTGTGTTGACCGCTTCACTTATTTGAGAAGTTGCATCAGCCAACGCCAACGGGTTGATCTCTGAAGAAATCTCAGCACGGATACAGAGGACTAGTTTCGCATGTGCCAGTTTGCGCCGTCTCGGCTTAGTAGACGTGAAATCCGACTGGCTAACGACCAAAGGGGGGTGTACTGCTCAGCGTCAGTCCGCTCCGTCCTCCTTTATGGTCAGCTGTGAGACCTGGCCATTGAAAGTGGAAGACATGAAAAGACTGGCTAGTTGTCTTTGATCATAGGTGACTGCGTTCTATCTTCCGTGTGAAGTCGTATAATAAGGTGAGTAATATTCAGGTTAGGTTTCAGACCGATGTTAGGTGAGTTGAAGGGGAAATCAATCGACGATGTTGTGAAACAGCTGCATCGTTTGAGATTGTTATGACGTGTGTTACTGATCCCTAGTCATCGCCGTCCTCGACAATGGGGAATGTTAGCTAACATAGGGTCAGGCTGAAAAAGAGCTAGTTGTGATCAAAGCAAAGCATGGCTTCATCAATCAATGAAATCCACAACAGTTAGTTTAAGCCAGCCACGTAGGAAGGTGTGGACTTCCTGGTTGGAGTCCTCGGGACGGTAAGCACCAATAGCTGGTAACAATTATCGATATGGATCAAAATCTCTCTCCATGGATGGTGCAGACGCATCCACTCCTTGTGACTTATAATTTCCAGTGAAACTATATCGTTCATTATTACTATTCCTTTGTCTCACACCTCTGTTTACTGTCTCTATTATGCATTTCTTCTGTTGCTTTGTGTGGTATATGGAGGGAGTATGGCGAATTGGACTGGTGCACATCGGTGCAAAGTTCTATATCAAAAACAGATAGATAGACAGACAGACAGTCTTATCATCCTATTGACAAATCGCCATGATTGGTTTATATTTCAGCATTTATTTGTAAAGTTGTGTGTATGTATAATAGAATAAAGTCTGATGAAATCTAATCGAAAACACGATACCGTTCGGTTACATGCTACATTCGAGTGTCATAGGATTAACTGTCCCTCTTCCAAGATGATTTTTCTTATTCCTTTGCATTCCAAGTGGAATACACATAGGAGGGCTTCAAAAAGCCAGAGCTTTTAAGTTTCATTAGCAGTGGTGGTGTTTGTTTTTTACGCGGAGGTGGTGGGGTTGCTGGCTTTACGCTCAACCACCCCCCACCCAATCTTTGTCGGGCTGATAACAAGTTAGGGGAGATCAAGATTTGCTCATGTCTGTTTTCGACATAGAACTTTGCATCGATGTGCATCAGTTCAAGTCGCCACACTCCCTCCATGTACCACACAAAGCAAGAGTAGAAAGTAAAAAGAAATGCATAATAGAGAGAGTTAATGGAGGTGTGAGACAAAGGAATAGTAATAACGAAGAACAATATAGTTTATTTGGAAATAATAAGTCACAAGGAATGGATGCATCCGCACTAGCCATTGAGAACGATGACTTTGAGCCATATCACCAGTTGTTTCCAAACATTGGTTTTTACCGTCCGAGGACCCCAACCAGCACAGTCTACACCTTCCTACATGACTGGCTGGCTTAAACTAACTGTTGTGGATGTCATTGACTGGTGAAGTCATGTTTTGTTTTGACCGCCACTAGATCTTTTCCAACCTGACCCTATATCAGCTAACATTGCCCGTCGAGGAAGGCGATGAATAGACTCTCCTTGCATTCCCAAAAGCACACGAAGCCTTCCTGAGCATCATTCTCCCCGGACTATATGCATGGTCAGCTAGCATCCTACTGTTGAGCCACCAAAATAAATTATACCCATATATATTCTAGGCTCAGATACGAAATTTCTTTGTTAATATTTTGAAATATTCACCAGAAGCTTCTGAGGTATTCTATCTTTCCACAGTGTGTTTCTAACTCGTTTATACCACTGATTTATCATAGATAAGAAGTAATATCATTCTTTAAACCCAAAAGTACTTATTTCAGAAAGGTAATTTATTCAGGGAAGCCTTGTGTGCTGGGGAGGCCTAGTAGAAGTTGATTTTCCCTTGAAATACCCGAGACAGATGAAGCATTAGTCTCATGTGACTGCAGAGCCCGAGAGAAAACTGCTTCAGGCTGGTCACACACACACACACACATGCATAGCCTGTTCGAAGTGATTTTTTTGAGTTGTGTCTATAAGAAGTTCTTACTATGACAGAGAAGATTTATAGCTCAGGTCGATGATTTTGATGTGGTTGTGTTCTCTGAGCTGGATGGTTAATTTGCGAAGCTTTCATCACCCTATTGGGTGACATCTTCAGCGCATACTTCAATTTGACTTCAAATTCCTCCCTCGTCACCCTCGTAGTGACACACCGAACTCGTCGTTTCCCGTCCGAGTCCCACTAGAAGGCCTGGTGCCCGATGTCATACGATGATCTCCTCTCAGTGTGTGTTCAGTCCATCTCCATTTCCTCCTACTTATTTTTGTTGAATGACTTCATCATCGGATCCTCCAAAATGATGTGAACGGCATACACTACCCTCAGTCTAACCGCTATTTAGACAATTTTCCTGAGATGGAAGGAAGGGAATATTCGTTCCAGGAAGTGTAGCTTGTTGAGTCACTGCAAGATGCAAGTCTGACTATCACATGAAGATAGCAGCTTTCGGTCTGGCGAATCATACACTGAATGTATGGGTTTACTGAACGGTAAAATAACTTTCCAAGAAGGTTGAAATTAGTAAGAATGATATTCAATTGATAGACTTACTGTATTTTCGGAAAGCAGGTTGGAAAGTTTCTTGATTTCTAAAGGATGATGTATGCGGGTAAGAATAGTCATTGTCACCATCACCCCACCAACTTGGTTGTCCATAAAGCTCTAAAAGATAGATTTTACAAGATTTAAAGTAAATGAGAACACTAACCTTCTCAAGATATATATATATATATATATATATTTACGGAAGATTTGAAAACAACTCAGACAATAAGATTTCAACTTACCACCACCTATATTAACATAAATATATTAACTAATCAAGTATTGGTTTTGTAGGGATTTTGTTTGATTGCATGGAGGATGTCAGCTCATGATTAAATCCTCCATGCAATTAACTAATCAATCAACCAAGCAATAATTCATGCATTTCATGCACAGTTTTCTTATTCCTGACGAATACTTGTAGAATCTTTTCATATGCGCAAATTGACATCTGTTTATGTTTCCGCGTGTTGATCAACAGGAATTTAATTGATTTCAGTTATGATCGCAAAATAACTTCAGTTAGAAAAGCATTAAAAGCCAGAGAGTACTTGATAGTCGTTTTGTCCTAGTCTGAGGCTCTTCACCGATGGGAATCGAACCTAGGACCTTCAGGTTACAAGGAGAACTATGCATGTCATTTAGGTCACAATAACAGAAATTTAGCTAGATCTAAAATGGTTGACACAGCTAAGTTAAATAATCCAGAAAAACCAAGGAATACTGAACAGCTATATATCGGGAGTTCTTCTCTCACTGATGTGACAGTGTGATCAAACTTCAAAAGCATTCAAATCCTTGCAAACCAACACTCGAGAACGATAGAAATAGATTTACTCAACAAATTGATACAGAATAAACTTATTTATCTTAGCTACTGCAAATGACTTTTAAACAATAAAGTCTAACAAATGAGCTGCCTGTCACGGTTTTCCGTTTTTAAAAGAATATCAACCGACTGTATCGTATCCTCATGTGACGCTAAAACTGTTACTAACTCTTTGGATTGATAAAATGGCTATAGATGGGCAGAGAATTATTATTTCATATGAATTTGAATAAAGCAAGAACAACAGTGGTGGTTTGTGCAGAATAATATGGTACCTTCATTGTTTATTTCGTTGGCTTCTCACCAGCTGCTGCTTACAGCCTAAATGAATCATTATTAAGTTCATGTACAGAAAAGATTCAACATACTTGCAAATTTTACAATATGTCAGTTGACAGGAGGCTCTAAACTTAATGAACAGTGCTCAGAAAATTACCCTTATGTAGTTTTTGCACAGGGAATTAAAGTTTAAACAAAGTAAATGTATGCATACAATGGTAAGGCAGCTACGCAATAAAGACGAGAGGTAAGTAAGATAATGAGTGACTAATAAATAAAGTAACAATGTACTGAGTGCACTCAAATCATAGAAACAAAAGACAAACAAAATTATAGATTATAAGAGGGGAGTCTGTCTGTCTGTTTGTTTTCGACATAGAACTTTGCACAAATGTGCGGAAGTTCAAGTCGCCACACTCCGTGTAGCACGCGAAGCAAGAGAAGAAAGTACAAGAAAAGCATAATAGAAACAGTGAGCAGAGGTGTGAGACAAAGGAGTAATAACGAAGAACAAAACAGTTTCATTGGAGATCATAAGTCACAAGGAGTGGATACATCTGCGCTAGCCACTGAGAACGATTTTGAGCCATGTCACCAATTGTTTCCAACCATAGATTTTTACCGTCCCGAGGACCCCAGCCTGGAAGTCTACACCTTCCTACGTGGCTTAGACCAACTGTTGTGGATTTCATTGACTGATGCCAAGTTTTTGTTTGACCGCCGCTAGCTTTTTTCCAGCCTGACCCTATATCCGCTAACATTGCTCGTCGAGGGAGGCGATGACTTGGCATACGTAACACATGTCCTAACCATTTCAGTCTTTGTAACTTCGCGACTTCGTCGATTGATTTCCCCTGTTTACCTAGAACTCGACGCCTAACTTCAATGTTGCTCACCTTATTATGCCACTTTACACGGGAAATAGAGCGCAGGCACCTATGATCAAAGACAGCTAGTTGGCCTTTTCATGTCTTCCACTCTCAGTGGCCAGGTCTCACTCACAGCCATAAAGGAGGACGGAGCGGACTGATGAGCAGTACACCCGCCCTTTGGTCGATAGTCGAACATCTCGTCTACGCCAGAGTCGGCGTAAACTGGCAAATGCGAAACGAGCCCCCTATATTCGTGCTGAGATTTCGTCAGAGATCAACCCGTTGGGGCTGATGGTACTTCCCAAATAAGTGAAGCGGTCAACGTGCTCTACCTCTTCACTTCCTATTTTTAAACTAGGCGTCGATGTAGCCCAGTCCTGTAACATCATCTTGCATTTGGCGGAAGCGAATCGCATGCCAAACATTCGTAGATTGCAGCTCAAGGTGTTTAGAAGACTCTGCATTTCGTCAGCGTCTTCGCCTAGAAGGACTATATCGTCAGCATATTCCAAGTCAACGAGATTAGTCCCTGGTAGCAAGTCAATCCCTGAGTCGCTGAAGTCACTTAGGGTTAAGTCCATTAACACATCTATGATGAAGTTGAATAGAAAAGGGGATAATGGGCATCCTTGACGGACACGACTAGTCGTCATCAGTTCAGATGACAGCTCGCCGTAAGCCCTCACCTGGCTGTATGAGTACGAGTAGAGTGCCTTAATCAGTGCAATATATTTTCTCGGCATTCCCTTTACAGCCAAGAATCTCCAGAGAACTTCTCGATCGACAGAGTCGAATGCTGCCTTTAGGTCAAGAAATACAATGACTGTTGGACGCCGGTAGGAATGCCTATGTTCTAGAATCTGTCGGAGGGTGAAGATATGATCAATACACCCTCTTCCTGGTCTAAAGCCTGCCTGGCTCTCTCGTGTTTGTGCCTCCCGAGCACCACTCAGTCTACGCATGATTATTGAGCCTAAGACTTTAGATACTATATTAGTCAAGCTAATCCCTCTGTGATTATCACAGGAAGACTTGTCTCCCTTCTTGTATATGGGGATAATCAGTGACTTACACCAACCCGATGGGACTTCTTCTGATTCCCAGACGCTGCCTAGTACCTCAGTTAATGCAGACAGTAAGCTGTCTCCACCGTACTTAAATACCTCTGGAGTCATTCCATCAGGTCCCGCTGCTTTGCCTAGTTTCAGATTGGTGACAGCTTTAGTAACCTCAGTTAGGGGTGGAGGACCTGTGTCTATATCCCATTCAGGGAGGTGTTGGATGTTCGGCAGGTTGAGCGTGGCTATGGGCCAATTAAACTGCTCCTCATAATGCTCTTTCCAGCGATCCAGTCGTCTATCCTGGGAGCTAATTATAGTGCCATTTTTTTCCGAGATTGTTTCACTAATGATTTGTGTGTGAGTGAGGTTATACACCAAGATTACGTAATCAGATGTGAGAATACAGACATCCAGTCACCAGGGCAAGGAAAGACTAATAAGTGCTTCTTTCTGAACACAAATCTGGTTTCAAGCGTTTGATAGAAATTGCTTCGGCAAACTCGAGGAGAACTGAGCTCCTTTGCCTATTGATAATTTTAAAGGATTTCGCGGTTCCCACCTCATGAGATGTCTGGTAACGGCACTATTATAAGCGTTTGTTTCCTTGAGACGCAGACGTAGGTATCCCCTTCTTTCTGTTCTCTTAGCATAACTGCTCCCACAGACACGTAAATTTGCGTACACAGTTGGAGTTAACATGAAAAAGGTATCTCTCGACTTTCGACTGCACCAAAGAGCATGTTGTCTGACAGATGGGAGCTAATTCAGCTGCAGGATAGGTTTTAGCTAGTGACGTATTCAATCTATGGTTGACTACTGCTACAATATTTTCACCTTTAAAGTTTAGTTGAATGAAGACAGGCTTTTTTCCCACTGTGGTTTGTTTGATATTTCAGCCTTGATATCTTCCGTATTTTTTAATGAATCTTTGAGGGTAACCAATGTTTTTCAACATCTATTCGAGAATCGTAAATTCTTCTTGTAATTCCTCAGTAGAGCGTATTCCCCTAGCTCTATAGTACAGAGTCTTGACTAGTACTCGTTTAAAGCTATTTGCACAAAAATCTATTAGAATGTAGGTATTGTCCCTTCCATGTAGTCTTTCAGTAAATTGACCTCTGGAGACTGCCATCTTCCTGGCGTTACATGGCACGATGTCAAGCAAATGAAACTTTCTATCATCTTTATGTTCCATAGTAAATTCAATACTTGTATGTGCATCGTTGAGTAGTCCGAGTAGGTAAGATGTATGACTTTGGTTGTTGAGTACTACAAATATGTCATCAAAATATCTCCCTATAACTCATTTTAACACAATAAAATAACCAGATTTTGGTGAATTTAGTACACTTTCAAACAGCCTAGTGATCCGTCAAGATTAGGATTTTCAACATCAATGTGAAGTCGGTCAGTGCTTCTATACAGGTCAGAAACTTGCAGTGTGTGTGTCACAAAAAGGATTTCCAACAGGCCACCGCAGACTTTCATCAACAGCTGCCCAATTCGCTGGCTGGCTCCATATTGAAGATCAAATGGCCCCAAAGAATAGGTAACAAGAAACTCCGGTTGGGAACAAACCAGCGAGCAAGAAACGATCGCTCAACAAATTTTTCATAAAAAATGGAGATCAATCGAGCATACATAGAGAAGGCTAGGCCTTCGAGTGGAACCCAAATGGGAAACGCCAAGTAGGTCGTCACTACGAGGGTGATATGGAGGAGATCCTGTGAGGAAGAGACGAGAGAGTTTGGGCGATTGTCGACCCAGCTGAAGAGAATGGCAGAAAATAGAACAAAGTGCAAATGTGTTGTTGAAGCCAGTCTGTCTGTCTGTCTGTCTGTTTCCGACATAGAACTTTGCACAAATGTGCGGAAGTTCAAGTCGCCACACTCCGTGTAGCACGCGAAGCAAGAGAAGAAAGTACAAGAAAAGCATAATAGAAACAGTGAGCAGAGGTGTGAGACAAAGGAGTAATAACGAAGAACAAAACAGTTTCATTGGAGATCATAAGTCACAAGGAGTGGATACATCTGCGCTAGCCACTGAGAACGGTTTTGAGCCATGTCACCAATTGTTTCCAACCATAGATTTTTACCGTCCCGAGGACCCCAGCCTGGAAGTCTACACCTTCCTACGTGGCTGACTGAAACTAACTGTTGTGGATTTCATTGACTGGTGAAGCCAAGTTTTTGTTTGACCGCCGCTAGCTTTCTTCCAGCCTGACCCTATATCCGCTAACATTGCTCGTCGAGGGAGGCGATGGCTTGGCATACGTAACACATGTCCTAACCATTTCAGTCTTTGTAGCTTCACGACTTCGTCGATTGATTTCCCCTGTTTACCTAGAACTCTACGCCTAACCTCCATGTTGCTCACCTTATTATGCCACTTTACACGGGAAATAGAACGCAGGCACCTATGATCAAAGACAGCTAGCTGACCTTTTCATGTCTTCCACTCTCAGTGGCCAGGTCTCACTCACAGCCATAAAGGAGGACGGAGCGGACTGATGAGCAGTACACCCGCCCTTTGGTCGATAGTCCAACATCTCGTCTACGCCAGAGCCGGCGTAAACTGGCAAATGCGAAACGAGCCTCCTGTATTCGTGCTGAGATTTCGTCAGAGATCAGCCCGTTGGGACTGATGGTACTTCCCAAATAAGTGAAGCGGTCAACGTGCTCTACCACTTCACTTCCTATTTTTAAACTAGGCGTCGATGTAGCCCAGTCCTGTAACATCATCTTGCATTTGGCGGGAGCGAAGCCAGGCTTATGTTCCACTCGGAACCCATGGGAACAATAATATAAAATAATAATGGCGACCAGTCTCTTGAAACGTACACAAATTATTGGCATCTAAGTCGGACTTCAAACTGCTCAGTGGCTTCATCAGATGAACAGATCACCACAACAACAAAAAATTCATAGTCGAATATATGAAAAAAATTATTTAATAGGTAGTCATAAAACAGGATTTTTACTAAGATTATATGACTAGATTTCGACGAGGAAAACAATTAGGGTATCAAGTGTTGGTTTGTAGGGATTTAATTGGTTACAGGATTTCATCATGAACTGACATTAGTTAGAGAACCATTGGAAAACCTGGGAGTACTGGACAGCTGTTTCGTCCTAGTTTGGGACTCTTCAGTAGTAAGCACTCACCTGGTGGGGTTCGAACCCACGACCTTCTGGTTACAAGATGAGCTCGTAGACCATTGAGCCACTGGACCTGATCCAATGGCCCATGGATTCTAACTTCTGCCAATTCACGACATAGCGCAACCGCTAGCCAATGTCTTCGGCGAGTATTTGTCCTCGCATTTAACCTGCTGCACCCTACTGGTGACGACTTCTCACTTGGAATAAAATGCTTCATATAAAACAAGCAGGTAACTGGTAGCCTCAATTACCTTTTACACTTTTTCTGCATGCAATAGCTGATAAATTTGTTTGTTTGACCACCGTTGTTGAAGAAGTATCTTGTTTAGGGCCTTCTGTGTTTGGAGTAGAATTCATTACGGAATTTTGAGAAGAGTCAACGACAACAAGACGATCTTTTGTATTACTATTGTTGTTGTTGTTAATACTTGAAAGATTTCCTGGACAAGGCAGACTAGGTATATCTCCGGAGATTGAATTCCCCTGTTCTACTAACTGACTAGCATTGTGCAGATCAGAAGATAGCCAAGCATTAGTACTACAAAGCACAGGTTCTTTTGTTTGATCAGTTATTACAACAGAGGAGTCAGCTTCAGATAGACTCGCTAGTGTTTTGCTCTTTGAATCAGCAGATAATTCTGAGATGATATGATGATCATGATTTTCAGGAGAAATACGATCTGTTGGATCATTTTCAAATGGTGGACTTTGAACCAAAGAGAATACACCATCTTGTTGAAGAGATAAAGGACTAGGCGGTTCATCATCTTCAGCATGATCGAGTTCTGATTTATGACTTAGAGGGTCAGTGACTTTAGTACAATATTCAGTGTATACGCTTAGGTCACCGGCTTCTGAATTTTGTGAGTATTCATAACTTTTCTGAAAAATAAATTGGAAGAAAAAGACGTTTTATTACTCTTCTACTTGGAATATATATATTATAATTTCAGCATTTCATCATGAGCTGACATCGGCTAGAGAACCATTGGGAAACATGAGAGTACTGGACAGCTGTTTCTTCCCAGTCTGTGATTCTTCAGCAGTATTCACCTACCTACCACCAGGGCTCAAACCTAGGACCTTCCGGTTCAAAGACGAGCTCGTAAAACATAAAGCCACTGGGGCCTAATCCAGTGGCTAGCCTATGAATTCCAGCTTCTGCCAACCAATTCAGGATATAACGCGACTGGCACTAGTTAATGAATGTCATCGGGGGCGAGTATTTGTGCTCACATCCGACCTTCTGTAACTCACTGGTCAAGATACCAGAACTTACACGCAAATAATTATGAACAACCACAATAAAATGACAATTATTTGTTGTAAACTGTAACACAGACAGACTAACGTGGAACACCACAAAAAGGTGCTTCCAGTTAAATAGCTATACTGCTATAATATCATGGGTGAAAATGAACGCTCATACAAATGTACCAAAGTAAACAAGTCAGATTTGAAATATGGTCTGAAAACATTGCAATATTAAAATGCGTTAGATACTATTGACCTGAAATAACTCTTCCACAGATAATACTGAATAAAAAAAATTAATTCAAGTGGAAGGCAATATGGTAGTCCTTTGATTGGACACTAGTAACTAGTATGATGTGTATAGTCCTTTATTTGGTGCAGACTAAATTTTATCAGTCAGTCTTGCAATGTGGCCAACATTCTAGGTAGATGGTTGGACACAATCGGCCACAGGAAGCCTTGGCCTACATTTTGTGCTAGTTGGCACTCATCCGTCAGGAAGGGGTATCTGCAATCTACAAGGAACTCATGTTCCTTCTGAGATTCGGAACCGCGTCAGCCAGTGCTGCAGTCAGAGACTACACACAACACACTAGTTACTAGTGTCCAATCAATGTATCCAATACAGTCCCACAGGAGGTCAGTCGCGAGCCCGAATCGCTCCTCAGTGGTAACGTCTCTGACCGCAACACTCACTGGGTGACGCGGGTTCAGAAGCAACATGAGTAAGTTCCTTCAAGGCTGCAGATACGTCTTGCTGACTAGTGAGCGCCAAATAGAATGGAATCTAGGTACAATCAAGCCTTCCTGTGGCGGGTTGCCTTCAACCATCTAATATGGTAGTTCTTCAAAGACTGTTTTATATACTCCAAACTCTATATTTAACATACAACCGAACATACTAACTTAAAAGTTATTAATAAGATAACCTCAATACGCCTCATGACGGTAAATAGCCATTGCATAAGGATGAAAGTTATGAGTAAAAAACCAAAGCAACTGTGTTCTAGAGATATATCAAACAAGAAATAACTTAATTTCTTCGCTAAAATATTTACGCAGCTATCCTCAGATGCGTATACACTTCCGACAACACATACCAAGCTACGAGCCACTTATGCTATATTAAGGCCAGTGATATCGCATGACTAACCAAGTCGGATCTGAAGCCAAGACCCATTGGTTGAAAGCTTAAGTGAGTGAGCCACGTCACACCCAGTTGAGTATCCATATTCCTCTCTGTTATCACATAGGCAATTACATTATCGCCTAAGTCGTCTACACATAGGATATTTCCCATACTGTACCAAATTTACCTCCATCAAATGGAATGAAATATAATCAACATCAGCAACCACGTGTATATCATCTCCAGACTAACTGGAATTAAAACTATCAAGTTATGGCCTGTCGTAGTAGCCGGTTGCCCTGATTTTGATAGGCTTGAAAGATGAATACAACATATTGCGAGTTACACTGAAATACCAAGACACAAAACAATGGAGAAAAAAGGATGTGAAGTGTATGCGTAGATTGCAGAGTAGATGCGTGAAGGCGACGAAAAGTTGACACACGCCTACATGGCATTTAGGAAATTTTTGGAAGTCAAAATCTATGAGCCACTTTATCTTTTCAACTAATACCAATTTGGTTGGAGAACACGCTTTCAATTCTTAATGATTTTATGTAGAAAACGCCTTGATTTTCCTAATGACTGCGAGAAGTAAGATCTGTGATGAACTAAAGCGTAAACTTCGCTCACAACCAAAGTGAATGTTTCAAACACATTCCAAATATTATAATCTTGATATGGGAATGATCTTATTCACTTAAATAGTGCAGCTTATAAGCAAACAAAAAAACAATATATATCAGGTTGATGAGTTTAATTGTGATTTTCCTGGAAAATAGATGTACTTTGAATCTAATATTTGATTTCCATTAAAGACTTGAGAGACAAATTCTTAGTATAAATTTTAATCACAGCCTGTGTGTAGTTAGCGAACATATTTTTCTGTTAACTGAACTTTAAAATAACAAAACAAAATGGATGATACTATCCAAGAGATTCTTATTGATCATTCTGTGAATGCCTACACACGTCGTCACTATTGAGTAATAATTTTGAAGTATGAATAAAATAGATGTACCGATATTCCCTGAGACTAAACTGTTTTCTAGTGTCATATGATGGTTAGACTTTATATGTATATACTAAGTATTAATTTGAACAATCAGCTGAACTTAGTAAAAACTAGCCTACTACTAAGATCTCTAGAGGGCAACTTTCCCTTTGATAAGGGTAAATTGCTAAAACTGGAGTGATGGGTTGCAGGAATAACAACAAAAAATAGAATGCTGCATAGAACCAGTGAATATAATTATCCATTGCGAGCTTGATTTATTTAGGGAATGCATGCATGAATTACTAAACATTCGTATTCTGAATATGCTTATTGTAAGAAAGATATGTAGATAATCAGAGCGTCCTCGCCAAAAATCAGCAAAACGTTATCAAAACAAGCACTTACGATATCATTTGGAGATGGACAGCCACTGATTTTCTGGAAGCTAAGTGATGTATCACCTGACATACTAAGTTCACAGCTGAGTTGTACGTTCGAGGACTGAAGTCTTCATAAACCGTTATTAAAAACCAAGAAGAGAAGAATTACTGGTAGTTACGTCTTAGAAACTATTTATCTCCAGGAAAATACCGTAAGTAATTGAAAACATCGAAAGCACCTAAACCACCCATAACATTTGTAGCGCAATACTTAAAATTACACTTACTGAGTAGATATACTCTGCTTGTTTCAAACATCATGTCAAACCCCAAGTTCACTTCATTACGAAAACAGGACTGAAGTTTTCGTGTGCCTTAAGCTCTCGGTATAGGAAAATTATTTATCCAGGAACTGTGTTTGTTGAGTTTTAGAGATTGCTATGATAATTTGTGATAATTTGTCTTCAGATTTATTGGTTGAGGATAGAAGGCTTGGAGCCTATGTTAATCCTTTTCTAGTAAATTTCTGTGGTTGTCCAAACCCTTCTTGAACGAACCAGTTGAGGTTACAGACACTACTTCTTCTGGGAGTCGGTTCCAAGAGTTTATGACTCGGTGTAAGAACCAGTACTCAACAACAATATGATATCTTCTTGGCTTTTGAACTCTCCTGCTGTGTTCTCTAAGGTGTTCCGACCTGGTGGGAAGGAAAAGAGGGAATAGGTCAGGTCCGTAGTCACTATTTAAAATTTTAAACATTGTGATTAAATCTCCTCTCTGCCTACGGTATAACAGGGAAAAGAGATTTAAACTGTCTCGTCTTTCCTCGTATGATAAGTTAGCTATGCCGTGAACCATACGTGCTGCCCTCCTTTGAACTCTTTCTATAATGTGTGAGTTCCCTTTAAGACAAGGACTGGCGGCCTGGATGCAGTTTTCCAGTCTTGACCTCACCAGAGATATATATAAGGAGGTAATCATATCTCTGGTGATTCTAGCAAAGGCTCTGCGAATTGCCCATAACGACCTGAAACTCCGTGCAGCCACCGCGTGACAGTATGCTGTAGTTTTTAAGAGGTGGCTAGCTATGACACCCAAGTCCAAGTGAGTCAGAACTGATGGAAGTGTTATTCTCTCTATTTCGTAGGAGATCGTGCTTACTTGTCCAATGCGCATGGTTGCACATTTTGCCACATTGATCGGGAGCATTCATTCAATGAACCATTCTGACAATTTGTTGAGATCCTCTTGCAACATGAACGTATCACTGTTGCCCTCCAGCTCTCTACAAATTTTTTAAGTCATCTGCGTATAGGACCATAGGGGAGTCGGTGAGCAGGGATAACTTACTGATATACAGAATTAAATAGGAGAGGTCCGAGTACCGTGCCTTGTTGCACTCCTCTACGTATTGCTGTCCAGGAGGAGAGTTTCGAATTGATCCTTATCCTCTGCCTCCTATCTATGAGGAATTCCCTGAGCCAGTTTAGTAATCTGCCTTTGATACCAAGACTTTCCAACTTCATGAGTAGTCTTTCGTGAGGTACTTTATCAAAGGCTTTGCTGGAGTCTAGAAGACGACGTCAACGGGTCTTCTGTTGTCCTTTGATTTGACCCAGCTTCCTCTTGCATTGAGGAGATTTGACAGGCATGAGAGGTTCCTCCGGAAGTCATGCTGTGCTCTACATAACAAGCTGCTGTTTTCCAGATATGCCATGATTCTTTTCTTGATAATTCTTTCCAATGTCTTGATTAAAATTCTTGTGAGACCCATAGATCTGTAGTTTGAAGGACTTTGTCTTGTTCCTCCTTTGTGAATGGGGTTACTGATATGTATCCATATATTTATATTAATTATATATATATATGGTGGTCTCTCTTTCTGTTACTGTCTTAGTCCGTGACCATTTCACTTTGACGAACCTGTCTCCTTTAACAATGTATATTCCCCTTATATTATATATAATATGTGTGTTTGTTGACAGTCTGTTCTTGGTGATACATATATCCATATAATATGTGTGTTTGTTTGACAGTCTGTTATCCTTCGCTATGTATATATGGATCGATACTCCATCATAATTAGCCAATCATGTTAGGAATGTCTATTGATTTGTTCACACAATTGTTTCGACATTCATATATATTTTGCTCTCAAACAATTGTGTGATACAATTGATTCTCCGTGCGTTTGGAAAATAGAAGTATCATCGCAAACCTAGTGGTCTTCTGAATCCCGTTTTCTCTTGCGTCAGTACTATTAAATTCTCGATCAGTACATAATAATAATTTGGCAACGAGTACATAACAACCGTGCTTGTCTTGCAGCTTGTAACCTATCTGTTGAGGATGTACCAGAAAAACTGTTACACTCACTAAGTTTATACGGATTACTAGACACCATAGAGTTTTCTCGATATCTACTTCGCTGAGACCCCTTCGTCATAAATGACTGCGTTTTGCTCTCTGACTTCTCTGCTCCACGGGTGGAATGTAATATACAGGCAAACTCGCTCACAGCTTGATTGACACTATCGTTTACCAGTTTCAGAATATCACCGAACCCTGGCTCTCAACCTTCATCCTCTATACGAGAGCTTATCTTCACCCACTTCCTTTGCAGTCGCGTAGGTCAGCGTCTCGCTATTACCTCTAGGACGGAACTTGAGTTCAGATCGCTCATGCAATTCATAGAGATCAATGCATTCTTGTAAGTCATCAGACTATCTAAAAACTCAGATGTGCCTTGGAGTCATCTTGCAATTGGCTAAAATTACCCTTAAGATCCTCGAATAAATTCCTTACTATCATCGGAGGTCTTCTGGATCTTTGGCATAGAATACGCATCACCTAAGTATACTCTGCGTTTGTCTTCATAACCTTACATCACTCTATAGCCCTTGCAGCAACTCCAGTGCAGTACCTCATCAAATACATTAACTTCATTTCGTCATTTATTGCAAACCTACTTAACATGACTTCAAACTCCTTTACGAACTGTGGACAGTCAGCTGGGTTTCCGTCGAAACACCGAGGTTCATATTTGGGAATTTTAAATTTCTATTATCCATAGATGGTGAAACACCGAAATCAATCGTGAAAGAAGTGTACAGATAAGGAAATAGATAATTTTTGAAGTCTGCTTTCAACCGAATAGTTCATAAGATATAGCGTCAAATCTAAACTGTGTTTGAAAAAAATACGACATGTCAGTTTCATGCGGGAATTATAAATGATTGCGTTAATTGTGGAATGTAAGTAGCATTTTTTGCATAGGTGCTGACGTGATACATAATAGATGCAGAATAAACAATAATTATCAGTGAATGATTCACAAAGTGCTTGAAAGTCTATAAAACTTTAAATTCACCGGTAAGTACACCATATTTGTGACATTTCCAGTTGTATATGAGACCGACTTTGAACTTGTTGGCGGATTTTACTTTACTGTTATGCTGTCATAACACTCTGTAGTCGTATTCATCTGAACTATCTATTTTAACTAACTACTGTCTCTTAACTACACTGTGAGTCTCTTTTTAGGCAGATATGTACATAACTATGTAGCTTCATATATTTTTTTCCTTCGTAACATTTCCTATTGCCTCTTCGTTGCTATGTTTATAACTAAAATCTTGAAAGTAGCCTGCAAATCTCTGATTCCCTTACTTTTTTCATAGTACGTAAACATTTTTAAAATGCTGTTAGTGACGATGCATACAAAATGGCTGACTGAAAGTAGTCATTCATACCATGAGTATCGTTGAGTTAGCTTGTGAATGCAAAAACTGTCCATATGGCACGTGGCAATAATAAAAGATTTTTCTAAAAACAAAAGGAGTATTTCGCCAGGGCCTAGCAGATTCAAAGGTGGGAGGGTGGTGACTGGTATTCAGCGGATATGATGGTGGGGACTTAAGAGAACCACCCTTATCTGTGGGAATGCACTCTACTGCTAAGGCTCCTGAGGGTGAATTGCTTCAAAAAAATAATAATAAAAAATAAAATAAAAAATAAATGCTGCCTGTATGTCACAACTTGTGTACAAACTCTTTGAAAGAATGGCTCATGGTACGATTTCTCTACTTTAGGAGGACATCTAACTGTATAAATCAGAACAACAGCATAAATCAGTATTACTATACTTCCTCTTTTCTTCTAAATAACTTATGTACTTTGGCATTTGGATTTCACTTCTTCAGTTTCTATTCCCAACATTACCCTATATAAGAGTGAAAACCATCATTCGTTTCGCCCTAGTTTTTACTTTTTTATTGTTATCCCATACTTCAGTTGTTGTTTACTACTATAAACTTAAACTAACCGTTAGTATGTAACACTATAAAACTCAATGACTAGAAATTCCTAGTATTAAAAAAAGGAGAATAAACCCTGTGGTTATCGCATATTGTTTGCTTAAATTATTGTTATCTGCTGGCTGCTTCTGTTTTCTTCACTTCTCGAAGGTATTGCATTGAAACACTGCAAATGAACAGTAATGCTGCTTTCTACATTTGTATTACTTGAGCGGTATCCAGAATATTGTTAGCACTTACGACGAACAACGGAACAAATTCCATTCTGAATTCTGTTCAACATCGCAAAGTTAACTTTGCGACCAATTGGTCCCTTGTATCTGCTAATACCAATATAATGCTGTACTTACCATCTAATGTGGATTTTTTAAACTTTCGAACCCTTATTGATTGATAAAATGATAATGATAACAGTCTGCATCCAGTGTGTCTTACTCTGGTACCTGTATATCACTTCTCTTCTTACCTTCCATTAACGCAAAATTTCATAATTCCCGCATGAATCTGACTCACTATGAGTATATTAAATATTATAATTTAGACTTAAACCAAAATCTTATATTCTATTCTTGTAAAGCTTCTAGAGGTCATTTTCCAATTTTTAATTTCATAAAACAGTGTTCAATTTCAGACTGCACTTGTCTAATATGATCACTCCTGTACAAACGGTATGTGAATCATGTAAATGCTTAATTTATGTGAAATATATATATATATATAGGTGGTTTCGTCATTTACCAGATGAGGTAGCAGTATCCCGAGTAAATAGAGA